TTAAGGATATTGCATCCCACCCTCAATCATTTTATTGGTTTATCACATCAGATCACATCGTGGGGCAGGGATCATTACACACAACTACCACATTATATCATTATATAACTGCCAAGCCACTGAAAATCATGGCCCAACCAAGCTGATACATATTTTTAGGGGCTACAGATCAATCCATGACACCGACTAACCTACACTGCTGATGCCCTTCAGGGTTTAGAATCTGGATTATGAATTTATTCTCAGGCTGTCACCATGTTCATTATGATCATTGTTTAGTTTATCTGTAAGTTCATCATTGCTGTTCTTAGGTGCAGTTGAACGGATTTTGATTCATAGTGATCCCATGTGACAGAGTAGAATTTCTCCACAGTGTTTGCTTAGCTGTAACCTTTATGGAAACAGATCTCCCGGTTATGTCTCCCATGGAGTGAATGAATGAGTTCAGTGCCAACTTTTGGTTATCAGTGATTAACCATTTGTGCCACTAAGGCTTCTTCAAGGTTTATTGAGTCTTATAATATCAGATGCTTAATTTTCATCTATCCCCTCGGCTTCCATTTTCTTGTCTGATTTTAATTTTTATTCTTCCCTAAAATTATTTGTATGTTGTTAAGTGCCTTCGAGTTGGTTCTGACCCATAGCGACCCTCTAGAGGGTTTCCAAGGAGTGACTGGTGAGCTTGAACCACCAACCTTGCAGTTCAAACCGACTTTGCAGTCTAGTGCATTAACCCACAGCGCCACATCAGGATTCCAAAATTATTTGTATAGTGCTTCTTATATCTATAAACGTACCTTAGAGAAAAGCACATACCTTTTAAGATGAAGGAAGATCTAGAATTAAAACCTGGTTCTGATCACCCTTTAAATAATCATCTATGATGAAACCAAATGATTAATATTCACTGTCAAGCAAAGATGAAAAGATAAGGGAGGGGAGACAAAAGTGGATTTAGACAAAGCAATTAGGAGTTATTGCAATAGGTCACATGAGAGAATGTGATTATTTGTTATAAATAGGGACCATGGGAATAAAGGAAAGGGTAACAACTCAAAAACTACTAACAGATGGAAATATTAGAACTATCATTCTGATTGCAATGGACTCAACTGAATAAGAGAAAGAAAGACATTAAGTGCTCAGGTATCTAGATTGAACTACAAGTAGATTGTAATGCTATCACTAAGAGAGAGATCAGTAAGAGCAGGGAGTAGTGGTTGTTATTGCTAAGTACCAGCAAGTCGGTTTTGACTCAAAGTAACCCAGTATAGGGTTTCCAAGGAGCAGCTGGTGAGTTTGAACCACTGGCCTTGCGGTTCAAACCAACCTATGACACCACACCAGATGGCTATAATAATCAGTTCATTATTGGACATGTGATGCTGTAGGTTTAGCACTGGACTGCTAACCACAAGCTAACTGCAAACCCACCAGTCACTCCCTGGAAATCCTATACAGGGCCACTATGAGTTGGAAATGACCGGATGGCACTTAACAACAACAGGGATTCAACCAAGAATCCTTGATGTCACAGTTCGTTTGTGTTAGTCTGCTAATCTAAAGGTCAGTGGCTTGTACCCCCCAGCTGCTCCATGAGAGAAAGATGATGCAGTCTGCTCCTGTAAAGATTTATAGCTTCAGAAACCCTATGGAGCAGTTCTACCTTATCCTGTAGGGTCACTAAGAGGTCATATTGACTCAACAGGAACCAGGTAGTGATCTCAAGTAAATGTTGGGCATTTGAATGACTTGGGGTTAAGATAAAGGTTTGAAAGTCTTTATAACTCTGATGGTAACAGAATCAATGGGATTTTGAATTCTTAGGGAGTAAATGAGGAATGAGAAGGGGAAAGGACCCAGGATGAAATCCCAGAATCACTAGCACTTAGCCTTCCTGTGGATGAGGAGACACCAATAGAGGTTGCAAATAATTAGCCCAAAAGGAAGAAGGAAACCAATGAGTGTTTGTAGATGGGGAGAAGGGGGGGAGTGGTCAACACTGACAAATAAGCTGAGAAGTCAAGTCAGAAAAATACTGAGAAAAGGTTATTGAATTTAGCCACATCACACACAATGGCTCTGGTAGCGTAATGGTTACGAATCGGGCTGCCAACCATAAGGTCAGCAGTTTGAAACTACCAGCGGTTCCATGGGAGAAAGATGAGGTGTTCTGCTCCTGTAAAGATTACAGTCTTGGAAACCCTGTACAGGATCGCAATGAGTCGGAACCAACTCCACGGCACACAACAACAACAACAACAACACACACACACAATGGCCACTGGTGCCACTGATGATGAAGCAGTTTGGGGAGAGATGCAGGTGGAGTGGTGGTTTCATAATTCAAATTGGACTGAATGAGAAGTCAATAATTAAGAAATCAAGACATAAAAGAAAATCAGATCAAGAAATTTGATTTTTAAAAGCATGTAAGGAAGGAGCCGAGGAACATATGGGATCAACGGAAAGTTTTGTTTTAAAGATAGGAGTGGCTGTCTTTTAGTCTTATATCCAATTTATCAGCAAGCCCTTTTAGGTCTTTCTCCTAAATATAACCAAACCTGTTCACTTCTTACCTTCTGCCTAGATACCACTTTGATTTGAGCCATTGTGTCTTTTACCAGGACTTACTCAGAAGCCTCTTAACTGGTTTTTCTGCTTCCATTCTTTCTTTGTTTCTGTCCTTTCTTTATACAGCAGTCATAGTAAACCAAATCATGACACTTGGAATACATTTTCTAATCTCTTGGTCCTGGCCTGTAAAATCAGAATCCTGACCAGTTCTCCTACCACATCTCACCCCATACACTCCTTTTAACCCTCTATGTTCCAACTCCCGATATCCTCGGTCTGCACTTTGTTCTTGCTACCAGTGCTTAGCAAGTTTTTCTTCTAAACCTTTGAATGGCTGACTCCTTTCATTATTCATGACTCTGCTCAAATGTCACTTCATCCAAAAACTTGTCTCTGACCTTCATATCCTTTCTTCCATCCTCATTCCCTATTATCTCTTTTTCAAAGCTCTTAGCCTTTTCTGAAATAATCTTATTAATTAATTTACTTATATCCTTTAATTAAAATTAAGCTTTGAACAGAGGAAACCAAATAAACGGCATATAGGATAGTAACGATATAACTATATAAGGAGCTTGGGTAGCGTAGTAGTTACGAATGGGGCTGGGAACCGCAAGGTCAGCGGTTCGAAACTACCAGCTGCTCTGCGGGAGAAAGATAAGGCTTTCTGCTCCCGTAAAGATTTACAGCCTCGGAAACCCTATACAGGGTCGCTATGAGTCGGAACCGACTCCACGGCACATAACTACAACCACTACCACATATAACTATATAGTAACTATATATTGTACACTATGGTAGTATAGTGGTTACGGATCGAGCTGCAAACCACAAGGTCAGCAGTTCGAAACTACCAGTTGTTCCGCCGGAGAAAGGTGAGGCTTTCTGCTCCCATAAAGATTTACAGCCTTGGAAATCCTGTACAGGGTCGCTATGAGTTGGAACCGACTCCACGGCACATAACAACAATAACAATATATTGTATATATTAGGTCAGAGTCCTGGTGTGGTGCTGTAGGATAAACAGTGGACTACTAATGGCAAGGTCGGCAGTTCAAACTCACTAGTCGTCAGAAATACTATATATGGTCGCTTATGAGTCAGAATGGCACTTAGCAATAACAAATATATTAGGTAGCACTTCTTAAAATCACATGTGACTATAATTATCTCAAAGTAAAAATAATTTTAAGTAAATTCTGAGAGAACTAGAATTTTATTTACTTATTCAGAACTGTGTTTCCAATACCTCACAAAGCACTGGATCACAAGGTCGGCGGTTCAAACTCATGAGCGGCTCCTCGGAAACCCTGTACAGGATTGCTGAGTGAGAATTGACTCGACAGCACTTAACAACCCTACCCAGGGCCATCAAGTACATTCCAACTCACACTATCCTATATAGGGTTTCCAAGATTGTAAATCTTGACAGGAGCGCGCCTGGTGGATTTGAACCTCGATCAAGGACACTAAGCAGAATACCAGTGGATACTAAATAAATCTTTGTAGAATTAATGAATGACGTACTTGTTCATGTTTGAAAGAAAACAAGATAAGAGAAAGTGCAATCGATAACAGTAGATTCTGAGCCCGAGGAATCTGAGAATTAACATTTGGCACTAGAATCCCAGTTTGGGATTCAAATCCAGGTCTCCACTCCACACCACCCCATTAATGGGGCATTGATTGGGTCACCAAATTAGTAATTGTTAAGTATCGTGGAGTCGGTTCCGACTCATAGTAACCCTGCACAGGGTTTCCGAGGCTTTAAACCTTTATGGGAGCAGAAAGCCTCATCTTTCCTCCACGGAACAGCTGGTAGTTTCGAACTGCCCACCTTGATGTTAGCAGCCCGATTCATAACCACTACGCTACCAGAGCTTCTTAAATTAGTAATAGACACTGCTTTAGCAGACAATCAATCACAGGTCATCTTGTAGTTTATTATGATTAAACAGAGAAGGGCTGATAGGACCAACGCTTACAAGAAGGTACTATGTGGTTTCCATAGAGACATGACCAAGCAGCACTTTCATTACTTTGTGATTGTTGGGTATGTGCGACAGCACAGAAGGGTACCCTGCGGGCCCAGGTCTTCTCCTCTGCAGCTGAGGTTTCAGGTTTCAATCCTCCTAAACCGGTGAGACGTTACCGCGTTTATCTTTGGCTGCTATCGCCGCCTCCGCCTCCACGCCTTAAACCCCCGCTGCTAACGAAAGATAATTTCAGACGCGCGGGCGCGTACTCCGCCTGCTAGAGACTGGGCGCCCTGGTGGAGACAGGTTCTTGTCTACGGGAGCTGCGAGCGCCGGGAGGCGGCGATCACAGCTGGGCTGGGACTTCCTTCCTCCATCGCAGGACAACAAAACAACCCTGCTGCAGGCACTGAGCTCTTGGCAGCTGTCTGAGCGAGAGGCGTTGCAATGGGCTCTGTGCTGAGCAGCGATAATGGCAAATCCGCGCCCAGCTCCGCCATCCCGCGGGGCCTGGAGCGCAAGGGGAACCCCGAGCTACCAGTCACGTCTTTCGACTGCTCTGTGTGCCTCGAGGTGCTACACCAGCCTGTGCGGACCCGCTGTGGCCACGTGTAAGTGCCGGGGTAGCTGGATGTGCGCGCCTACTCGCTGGGGAGGGAGATCTAGGGGACTGCCGTGGATATGGGGGCGTTAATAGAAGCTAGCGCAATGAGAAAACTAGTTTCCTTTTGCCAGAGGCAAATGCTGCCGGAAGAAACCTGGATCCATCTGGTACGGGGCATGGGTAAATGCCCAGTAGGGAGGCGACACAGGATTTCGAGAGAAAAAGCCTGAAATTAGTGGGCCCGGCAGCTTCCTAAAGCTACCTTCTCCCGAAGGCGAGGTGCGAAGCCCCAAAACTGGGGTAACAGATTGTGGTCCCAGTCAGAGCCTGCACTAGTCAGCTAAAATGGGTGGTTTTTGCCGAACGAGAGCCCGCTTGGGCACGGAAAGGAAATGCGCACCCAACTCCTAGCACTGAGGACCCAGAAAGCACAGTTATCTAACTGAAGTGCGCTGAAAGCTTTGTGCTTTCCTCTCAGGAAACCCAGGTCGGTTTTTGTTTTGCTGGCTTACTGCACGTGGTACAGACGCTTACGGAGGCTCATCTCTTGCGCAAACAAGGACCTGCGCAAACTGCCTTTCTACCCCCACCCCGCCTCTCTTTCTCAACAGTCTTCCAGACCCTCTAATACCGACTAGTACATTTAGTACTGGAACGCCTAAGTGATTTGCCTGCCATGGTAGAGTTTGGGGCTTGAACATTATCACCAAACCAGTGAATTAAGCTGTTTAAGACCCAACCACAAGTGAAAGACCGCAGACTACCTACTTTACCATACTTTACCAAATCAATAGCATAGATTTAAAATAATTTAGAAAAAAAAAAAATTCCGTAACATTAAACAAATTCACTGTAAGCACAAAGTTGAGATCATTTCTAAGAAGGGTTTATAAACAAAGTCCCTATATAAAATGGACACATACTTAATGTGTGTTTGGATCTGTGGATTTGTGTTCTCCGTTTACTTAGAAGATATTCCCTCCATGGGTTTAGGTGTGACAGTGTGTGGAGTATGTGTGAGCGGTGGTGGTGGTGGCAGGGGCGGGGTACAGATAGAGTAGAAACCTACTTGAGGTCTTTGGATGGTGGTATCAAAAGCAACAGCGCAATACTACCATGGCTAAACAGGAAAAAGAGGAGGGCCTTGTCATAAATGCAAGTGCAAGGGCCTCCATAGTTCTTGACACAACCTATACCCAAGAAAAACGCAGTTTTCAACCCTAAATATTCCATCTGTCAACCAGGGAGAAAGATTTGCAGCCCACCCAATGTTTAAATCAAGAGTGCCCTGGGCATTATTTTCTGTCTCTGTTTTCCAGGCCTGTTATTTTAGGTTTGTATTTTAAACTCAATGCTAATCTCCCTCATTTGTGATTACTCATGTGGTTTCCCAGCTGTCCAATTGTAGCTTTTTGACATAATATCCAAGGGTCAGTACAGAAGTCAAGATGTTGTGTAACACTATGCAGTATATTGATTAGTCAGACACTGATAACCTAAGGGTAACCACATTTACGGTCCATCAGTGTTAGCATTAAGATTTGAAAAGTGTGCCAAGAACGTACGGTGGGCCTCAAGTCTTGAAGATTTCTTTTTAGAACTGCGATGGACAGCTTTATTATTGTAATTATCTGACTGTAGATTGTTTCCCCTGGTTTGGATTTTGAATTTATTGTTTGCAATTCTTTTGCTTCTGCTAAAGGGTAGCAAAAATTTGCAAAATGTTAAATCCTTTGTTTAATCCTTTTCTTTGTTAGAGTGAATAGGAAACCAGCAACTGAAAAATAGTCATAACGTAGGGCTGGACAAATTGCCTTCCCTTACTACTATACTGTTCTTTGTTTTGACAAATCTATGTCCATTGTTCTGACTGTGGGCAGAATTTCCATATTCCTCCCTTTGGCAAACTTACTTGGGCCCCTTCCACTTTGTAAATGTTAACCAGAGTTCCTTCTGCACTGGAGATGGTGAGCGATGTTAACATCATTTGTACTTCATAAATGAATTATTTTGTTCCATTGATCTTAAATTGAAAAAATGAATAAACAAAAATAAGTCCTTTGTTCTATTATTCTACATTGAGGCGAAATTTCCAAACTTTAACTAGGTTGTTTATGCTAATTCTATTCAAGTAGGCATCATATGACAACAATAAACTTGAATTAATATGTATGTTGTTGTTGTTTGGGTTCCAGCTCAAAGTAAGCCTGAATAGGGTTTCCAAGAAGCAGCTGATGGCTTTGAACCACCGACATTGCACTGATTAGCAGTCAAGTGCTTATCCTACAGCACTAAACCAGGGATCCTTATAAATTGTATTGTGAGAAAAGAAAGAATGAGCTTTAAAGGAGAACTGGGTTTGACATTCAATTCTGCCACTGATCAGCTGTGTAGCCACCAAATTGCCTAATCTCTTTGAATCTCAATTTCTTCATTTGCCAAATGGGGTGAGTAATGGAATTTTTAAAAATATTTAAAATGTAAAAGGAGCCCATAATGAAGACTCAAAACATACTAATTGATGCCTATTTCCTTCAAAGAGATTCCACAAGCAAAAAACCCATGAATGGGTAGTAATTACTATCCTTATTTTTCTCTGTAAGAAAAGTGGGCCACGAAGGGTATATATGTGACATTTCCAAGATTATGTAGCTAGTCTCAGATAGACTTACTGAGGTTAGTAGCCATAGAGTTGGCTCCCACCTCTTGGCGATCCCATGTACCATCCATGGGATTGGATCTTTGTGAATCCTAGAGTTTTCTTTAGGCTAATTTTTAATTAACTTGCCAGGCTTTTCTTTCTAGTGTTAGTCTAAACCCCTGTTAATACTTAATGTTAAGTGAAATTTAACTAGTTAAGCTTAAGTTTCCAATGCCCTGAACTAACCATATTATTTCATAGTTGTTCAGCATCATAGAAACACACAAGCCTTTACTGAAAAGTAGGTGGTGTGTGCACTCGAATTACATTGGCCAGATTGACCACATGGGAATTGAACCTGATTTCCTGCATGGAAGGAGAGAGTTTGACCACTGAAATGCCACTCTGCCCCCCATCTTTTAGCTTGTTGTGTGCCATCGAGTTGGTTCTGACATTTAGGGAACCCTGTATATAGAGTTTCAGAGGTCGTAAATCTTCACAGGAGCAGAAAGCCTTATCTTTCTTCTGCTGAGTGGTTGACAGGTTTAAACTGTTGACCTTGTGTTTGGCAGTCCAGTGCCTAGTCTACAGTGCCACCAGTGTTCTTTATCTTTTAGTTTAAGTGCTATCGAGTTGGATCGACTCATAGCTACTCTGTATAGCGTTTCCAAGGAGTGGGTAGTGGGTTTGAACTGCCAACCTTGTGGTTAGCAGTCCAATGCTTATCCTAGAGTCACAGTGTCAGAAAATGAGTTGGGGGAAGGCGTCTTAGGAACTCTGCCTTATGTTATCAATGAGTTTGGAAAAGAGGGAGTAGATAAATTTAAGCTGTATGGATGGAACAGAAAGGGAATCTGAGACACATTTAAAAAAAATATTCAAAGAACTTTATTGTTAAAATGGGTGTGGTAGATGCAGAAGAGAAAGACGTCAGAAGATTCTCAAACACTAAACTCTGCTGACAGAGATAAAGAGGGGCAGAGAGATTGGCTCAGGAGAAAGTTAATGAGCTCATGACTGAGCTTCTTGAATGTACAGTCACTGATTGGGAGATACCAAAATAGAGCTGTCTCAAAGATACAGCGAGAGTGGGTTTAGGGAATAGATCAGAACTGGAGATATGGGAGTTGCCCCCAGGGGTCAAAACATTTAGGAGGATCCCTGGTGGCACATTGTTGAAATGTTGGTCTGCTAACTTTAGCACATATACACAATGGAATACTACGAAACATTGACGAATAGTGGTTAACTTGTGAAACACCTCACAACGTGGTTGAACCTAGAGGACAATATATGCTAAGTAAAATTGCTATTGTTGGTAAGTGCTGTTGAGTCCGTTCTGACTCACAGCAACACTGTTTAGGGTTTCCGAGAAACAGCTGATGAGTTTGAATTGCCAACTTTATGATTCACAGTCCAGTGCTTATCCTACAGCACCACACTGGTGGTGGTGGTTATATGCCGTGGAGTCTGTCCGACTCATAGTGACCCTGTATAGGGTTTCCAAGGCTGTAAATCTTTACGGGAGCAGAAAGTCTCATCTTTCTGCCGCAGAACACCTGGTAGTTTTGAACTGCTGACCTTGAAGTTCCCAGCCCGATTCGTAACCACTACGCTACCTGAGCTCCTTACAGCACCACACTAAGTCTCCAAATATTGTTATTGTTAAGTGCTATCGAGTCTGTTCTGACCCATAGTGACCCTGTCTAAGGTTTCTGAAGAACAGCTGGTGAGCTTGAACCCCTGACCTTTCGGTTCAAACTGACTTTGCAGTTTAGTGCATTAACCTACAACATAGTCAGTCACAAAAGGAAAAACCTTGTTTGAGACCAATGTTGTAAAAAATTTTTAAAAGTTTTTCTTGAAAAAAGAAGCAATCTATGATGATTATGGAGAGGAGGGAAAAATGAAAATTATTCATGGCTAGAGGGTAGACACATATTAACATGGGTGACAGGGCAGGCAGTATACAAGAGGGAAATTAGCAGACGAAGAATGAGGGTGGCAGTCACACCTTAGAAACCCTATACAGGGTCTCTATGGGTCTGAACTGATTTCGTCGGCACTTAACAGCAACAACACTATACCTGGTAAAGGAGCTCTCTGGTAGTTAAAGTGGTGGACTGCTATAACCAAAAAAGTCAACTGTTCAAACCCACCAATTTACCTGTAGAAGAAAGATGTGGCAATCTGATTTCATAAAAATGTACAGCCTTGGAAACCCTCTGGGGGCAATTCTAAATCTGTTCTTCCTATAGAAGCATTATGAGTTGGAATGGACTCAACAGCAACTTTTGGATGACCAATAAAGCCTGCACCAAATTGGTAGTTTTCTCTAAGGAGAATCTGAGGATTATCAGATGATT